CTTTATTATTCTCATTAACAATTGAAGAGGATGCGGCATGGTATCGGCTAGACTACTGAAGATGAACTCCGACCAGACAGAGAAGCTACCTCTCGATGACAAACCAGAGATGACCAGAGACATGAAGCGACCAGAGTTGCCTAAGGCAAAGTTTAAAACATGCCTCCCTCTCAGTCAGAGGTCGAAGAAGTTGAGAAAAAAGGCCAGCTGCAAATCTTCCCCAGGACCCAACGGTGTCCCATAAGAGCTGTACAAATGCTTGCCGAAAGTCCTCAAATGGTGAAACTATGGGGGTGACTCGAAAGTCCTCAGAATGCTTCACAGCTTGAATGCAAGATATTTTTCTCGGTTATGGCACGCACTTACACAGTATCTGATGGAAAACATACATTGACAGAACAGTGGCATCCCAGGCGTCCTCGTGTGTCTTGAGCATGCGACCATGATCTAGTAGAGTATCCAGAGAGCTAAGACAGAGAGAACAGAAGTGCATGTGATATGGTTGGACCTCGCCAACGCCTACGGGGCAGTACACCATAAGTTATTATGTCAGGCCTTTTGCTTGTTCCAGGTATCGACACAGATCACCGAAATGATCGAGCAATTTTTCTCAAAACTCGCCATACGCTTCTCTACCCTCACGTTTATTTGGAGATGGACTGAACTCCAGGTTGGGATAGAAACGGGATGTACGATTTCACAAGTACTGCTCGTTATGACTGTGCATGTTAGATGGGGCTGTCAGCGTATGTCACGGGTTTCAAACTGGGGATCACTAGAGGTCGCATACATGGATGATAAGATTGTCATCATGCCAGTGCTATTCAAGAGAGGCCTTGTAGGTTTGTGGGGCATGCTATTTAAGCCCCACAGCTTCAAAAGTTTGTCTATCCAGAAAGGTAACGTGGCGGTACCCAGTCTCACTATTGCAACAAACAAACAAACAAAAATGATTTCCACGGTTCTAGATGAACTAGTGAAAATCCTCGGCCACGTCAACGATTTGAAGTTTGTCGTATACACGAGTCACTGGCCTGCTTGCTATCGAGGAACGCTGGCTGATCAGGAAGTTAAAGGTTAGGTGTCCCAGTTCATGTTGATTCCCAAGTTACTCTGGCCGTAGATCGTGTACGAGGTAAGCATGAATGCAGTGGAGACTGGAGACAAAAAAAATCAACATCGACAAGAGGAATTGTCTTGGAGCACTACTTGTCTAACCGATTCGACATTATATTGTAAGCAGTTTAAGCTGGTACATCCGCCAAATCAATAACGGAAGAGTTTAAAGCCGGCAAGGTAAGACTCGCGATTATACTTTGCGGGTCTTCAGACCTCAAAGTGGCAGCTTTTCAGCACGTTCTAAAGACAGGTATGAAATGGAAGGTCGAAGATGCGATAGAATCTGCTCAGAAAGCACTGCAATTAAGGAAAGTCATGGCTAACACACAAACCAAAAGAGGCGGCCTAGGGCATGGGAGAAATACTTAGTGGTCTAAAGCGTTGGTTAAAGAACGTAGAGACATGGTAATACAGCAGATAAGGGACACCGACAACGAGACTTGGGTCCAAAAAGCAGCCCAACAGTCGCAGCAAGGCCAGTTGCTCGGCCTCGAGAGCGCCTGGCCACGAATACTTACATGGGGTGAGATCTGGCGAATGGCTCTGGCTGAGCTTTATCATACGATCTGCCTATAATGTGTCATCCTGTGGCGTCAACATGGCGAAGTGGTGTGCGACCACCGACCCGACATCCTGTATGGCACTGTATGCAGAGCGAGGCAAACCATTGATCACGTATTGTCCGCGGGCAGAAAAGCCCTAGGCCAGCGCCAGTGACGCTATTCATGGCGCCATGATAAAGTCCTGAAAGAGTTAGCGGAAAGTGTGGATCAAGCCCGGATAAGGGCCAACGCGAGGGCGAGTCCTACCATCCCCCCCCCCCACCACTTTTTTTTGGCCCTTGGCTTCCTCAAGGCTGGGCAAATCACTAAAGGTAAAGTCAATCAGGTCGCAGACGCTCCATCAGTACTTGACTGTGCGAGGGACTAATTACCTGCCTAGTTTTAAAAAGTAACCAGGATCAATCCGAAAGACCGGTCTGAGACCAGACGTGGCCCTACGCTCTGCGGAAAACCGCAAACTCATCCTGATTGAGCTGAACGTGCCATACGCGTCGCGGATAGAAGAAAATCACTTGTACCAGCTCGAAAAGTATGATGATATGGTGGCTGGTCTGAGGCGTACACCATAACAGTCTTCGCTGTCGAGGTAGGCGCAAGATGACTTATCTCCACTTTCCCATTTAATGTACTCAAGCACCTGGACGTGTGAGGAAATGAGCGTAAACGGGCGCTTAAACAACTGGGCAAAGCTGCGGAAAGAACATCCAGTCGCTGTGGACACAACGGAAGTCGTGGGATATGGGCCTCGGTTGACTGGTCTGAGTCCCTAGTAGAAAAGAGCTTTCCATCCCCAAAAGCCAAAGTGCCCAAAAACGGTCTGCCAGTGTGTCTTTGCCAACTGCCAAAGTCTAACGTCTGTCCAATGAGACAACCGTAAGCTTGTCACTCTGGTCGTGAAGGTAGGCGGCTAATTTGCTACCGACGCGACAATATTTAACACAGAATTTCACAATACCTGCCGCAAAATCTTCATTGCTTTTTGTCTCTCTCTGAACGTCTGATAAAGTAGCAGGAGATGTCCGAGGCCTGGCATCAAGAACCAGGTCGGCCCACCTTCCGAGATTGTATAGCAAGGTAATGGGCCGAAACAATCGTCGACGAAGGACTTTTCTACTGATGATCGGTGAACCCCTGCTGTACACTCTTCTTATTATTATTATGAGGTTCATTTTATACATGGAGGGGTGAGGTATGGGATTGGCTAGACGCTCTCCTGTCCGCCTTAAAGTCTAGGGTTCGAATCATCATCTAGACGAATAGAGTTTTAAACCATGATTCTCAGGCCATGGTTGTCCAAGCCTAAAATGGGTATCGGGTAATGCCCTAGGAAATAGAGGCAGTTGGCTTGAAGTCTGCCATATCAACTATCAAGTGCCGGGTGGTCTATAAACATTCTGGCCAATCACAATATAGCGCGTGCGGTTAAGTCGTGAAAAGATCCTTTACCTATATATTGCATGCTTTCGGAGAACGTACTAGAACATTTCTTATGTAATGTTGGGTATATTATTGAAGAAAGTGTTTCCTTAACTTTATTGGGGGGTAGGGATTGGGGGGAGAGGGGAGGGGGGGGGGGGGGGAGAGCACGTAATATTGCTAAAGGCAAAACTGTCACCGGCGCCCTATTCTTCCTGAAAATATCATCATCAAGTGCCATACCAATAAACAACTGCGGTCATAACTCGTCACCAGGTGCGATTAGCAGAATCACGGATCAGGTCAGTACTCTGGGCGAAGCCATTAAAGTATTCATCTCTTTGCTCTTCTGTGTTCTCTTTCAATGACTCCTGCAAGTTGTCAACAAGTTCTCGAGGCTATTTCTTGTAAGGTTAAGCTGATGGTTTAAAAGCCATTCCTACTTTTCACACTGCGAGGGATTTGTTGCCAAGGGGCTGCAAGACAACAGTTTACTTCATTTATTTTACGCAGACGGTTCTCATTGGTCTAAAATCCTATTTTGAACATTGTATAATTTGTTTGTTAGATTTCTACTTGTGTCCACAATAGGCCTACTTGCTCCTGTGTATGCCATACTCTCCTCTCCTCGTTAGTACCTTTGTGTAGTTCACTTCATGTTTGACAAAGGCTGCCCGTCGAAACGTTACGTTATTTGTGTTGTTTTCTGCAATTTTTTCTGCTTCTCCATTTGGTTAGGCTTTTTAGTCCAATTTCATTGGAATTCCGTGTAATACAGTCGTCGGTACTGCTGCCTCTGTTAATGCCACATTTTGGATGGTGTAAACCAAATATGACATCTCACATCGGGCTAACGAGTTCGAACTGAGGAATGCACTGGGAGTAAAACAGGCACACTTACTTAAAGGACGAGGGAAGGCAAACTGAAAGTAATGTTTTCAAAGGGCAGACCAAAAGCCTTGTTTCCAATATAGATTACATATAGATTACATATAGATTCCTGCTCTTTTGATTCGGCAGCTTTTTCAGCACGCATTGCTACAAACATATGATTCGATTTATGTTTCCTTTTGAAGTAATCAAGGCATGTCGGGGTTGGGGAGAAGGGTGGGATTCTGTATGGCAACACATTGTCTCTACCTACTAGCTGAGGCCTCTTTCTCTCTCTCTCTCGTACTCTTCTATTCTCTCTTTGTCTCACTCACTCTTTATCCGGCTTTCTAATGTTTATTTAATGCTCTACTGCTCGTGTCGCTTCTGCAGTATACATTGCTCACGACGTATCGGTGTTACTTTTCTTTTGGAATAAACAAGACAGGCCGAGTGTGGGATCATTCTGCATGCTAAACACAGGGTTTCCACATATTCCTATGTTATAAGCTACATTAGGTTTTTTCAATGACTCACTGCAAGTGCCAACCCTGTAAACCTATCCAGCGTCTCGCAAATTTGATACAGGTATCTATGCAATAATCACGATTCAGCCCCCTCGCTCCCATTTTGGGAATCACCGATTTAGAATCACACCGATTACGTATAAGAACATTAGTTATATAACGTTATATATGTTATATGTATATGCAGTACTCTTTATGATCACATCGTAGGCCTTGCTACGTTTTTTGGAATATGTTTTATGTATCATGTTCTGTTTATTGCACAATATCCTTAACCGGAATAGTTCTCATGTAATCTCATACTGGGTAAAGTGTATGGTATATTTTAATGTATAACAATCGTGTTGAGGAAGTATCTGACAATTTCTTATGTAATCTCGTGTTGTATCTATTGCTCGAAATCTTGTATTGAATAATCACAACCAAGACCTTCTGAAGGGTTCCCTCGATAAACACTACATGATTACAGTTGCACAATTCCACCCCCCAAACAATGTTACACTGAATGCTAAATCATGGTTATGTCGCAATTGCTAGTAGGATTTAAGACCTCCCATTTGTGAAACTGGTACATTGCTTGTGTAATATTCTGTAGGATGTGTTCGTTTTCAACCAACGAATAACTTCGTGTGACACTGTATTGCAGCTGTAGCTGATTTGGACGACCTCTGGTTAGCAGTTAAATTAATCAGCTTCTACATGTACAGCTGTAGTAGTTCACCTTATATTTTTCATTCGTCTTATTCCTTCTAGTGGTGCTGCTGTTACTACTCCTACTGCAGCTGTCACTGCAG